TGGGTTTTTTTTCTTTTTTTTTTTTTGCTATAGGGCGCGTGCGCTCGCCAGACAGAAAAACGAGAGACAGAAAGTGAGAAATCACCCCTCAGGGGGGATGGCCACGCTGCAATCCCTTCTCCTCCATTCTCCTCTCAGGACCTTGGGGACGCACATACATGCACCCAGTGTGCGTTTTAAGTCACCGGGTCCGGGACTCGAACCACGATTGACTACGTGGGAGTCCAGCGACATAGCCATTACGCTAACTGCTGGTCCCAATACCTTTTTTTTTTAAAATTTGATTTCCAAACCTTTGCTGAGTAGGAGAAATAGATTAGGAAGTTGGGTCATGGAGAATAGTGATATTCATGGCAGGCACACAGTAGATGCAGTAAATAGAACTGCCGATAGTCTGTCAAAGTACCGGGTGATAGCTCAGTATATTTCTGCATAATACTTAATGAATCTTCATAATGGTGAGTTTGAGTCATCAAGAAAAGTCAGAATCTCTCTCTGTTGAAGAAAATAGAAAAATATCTTCAAGCCCAGACAGATTTCTGTTAGCAGTAGAAATGTTTAGTGTTTTTAGAGTTTTGTATGTAAGTTGGTAAGCGACAGTTACCTGGCAGAATATTTTATCTTATCCTTTTGTGATGCCAGATAGAGGGGATCATAGAAAGTTATAAACTACAAGATGCATAAGTTCTTTTTAGTGAGCAACAACTTTAAGAAAGAATCATTGTCTTAGCTTTTTATTTTCAACAGCTCCTAGTATTAAATCTTAGCCATTGTACATACTGTACAAATACTTATAGAATAAATGAGACATAAATTTATGTGTTAACAGAAAAGAGATACCGCTCCTTTAAGACAGGATTTAACAGCACACAAGCAATTGCAGATCCTTAGTAATAGAATGCCCCCTCCTAGTTACTGCCACGTTGTCTTGTGTAAATTTTACAGTGATTCTTGATACTCATTCTTTTTATGAATTTCTTTTTTATTTGAACTCAGAAGCATGTGGAACCTTTAAGTTAGTGTGTTTCTATGTATGAGTGCTGTGTTTTTTAGAGGGTCTCCTTGTGTCTTGATCCTCCTGCTTCAGCCTCCCTGAGGAGCTGGGACCACAAACATTTCTCTGTGTTGCTCAGGCTGACTGTGAGCTTATGATACTCCTGTTTGAGCCTCCCAAGTCACTGAGACAACAAATGTACCCCATCTTACCTGGCTTCTCTTTATTGTCCTCTTTTTGTCACAGGACACATGTGCTCACCAGAGAGAGAGAGAGAACAAGAGCAAGAGCAAGTGAGCGAGAGAGAGTGAGCCATCCCAGGGGAGATGGCCACACTGCTATCCTTTCTCCTCCATTCACTGACATACATGCACTTGGAAGGATTTTTTTTTTTCTTTTTGAGAGATTTTTGCTATTGGGTATGACAGAAAGTGAGAAATCCACCTCTCCCCCCTCCACCCCCCCGGGGGGAGGATGGCCACACCACAATCTCTTCTCTTCCATTCTTCTCCTGGGATCTTGAGCATGCATACACATGTGCCTGGTGTGAATTTTAAGCCGCCGGGTCTGGGACTCAAAACTGTAGTTGGCTATGTAACTATTGTGTGTCCAGCAATGTAACCATTATGCCATCTGCTGGTCCCAGCGCTTGGAATGATATTTAAGCCACCAGGTCTGGGACTGAAATTGCATTTGGCCATGTGGAAGTCTAGTGCCTTAACCACTATGTCACTTGCTGTCCCCCACCCTACCTGGCTTTTTAGGATGAGCCTGGAATTAAACCTGTGCCTCTCATGTAGCCTGAGCCTGCCAACCAACATTGTCCAGTACACACTACTGTGGCTGGGCCAGAACCTTTTAAATTGGCATTGCATAGTATGCTGATTTTTAAAAATAACATAACATGGGCTGGTCTTTTTGACTTTTGGGTTTTGGGACTTCAGTTTGTCCTAAGTTGGCTGTTGGAAAAGATGGTGACCAATGATCCCAAATAGATGAGGAGTTGTTAGGACATTAATTTATAATACTTTTAAAGACTGAAGTTCTGCCTGTCTCATTAAAAAAAAAAAAAAAAGATAAAATTGTCTTGGACTTTTTAACATCCAGAATCTTATGTAGGTTGCATAGCCATTTCATCTTTTTTTCCATTTTATAGCAGTGCAGCTTCAATATAAGTCTTCTAGTTCTTTTCATATGTTACACTCTGGACAATGTGAAAGAGAAACTGGAGCCTTGGAGCTTATATAATTGGGTTATAGTTCTCAAACTTAGAAACCAAAAGTGCTAGCTTGATCCCTATAGCATTATTCATTTTGAGGAGCTAGAATCCCACTTCACTTAACCTGTCAAGTAGAAATGTCTGCTCGACTTAGCTTGTTTTTGTTTTGGAGCAGAGTATGTATTATGAAAACACTTTATCTTTTATAAAATAAGTAATTTTTACATATACACTTATTAATTTACACATTTACATGAAAACATATTAGTAGATGTAGATAAGTTTCTTTGAGAAGAAGGGCTGTAAGTTGTGCCTTAGATGTCAGACGTCTGCCATGTGTCTGTATGGGTAACAGCCAGTGCAGTGCCATCCCAGCTTCCTGCTCGTTAATAGCTCAAGGTACAAAAAGCAAAATTATCTGTCTGCAGCCAATGTCTTTTTTACCCCATGAGAAAATTAATGAGATGAAACTTTGTGTGTGTGTATGTAGAGTTTTGCTTTATGTGGATTTAAATGGAATTCATAGATTCTTTTTGATGGAAAGTAAGCTGTTTCTGTTTTATATGGAAGTATACGATATGGAATACATAAGTAAGACTTCTTTTTCTCTATACAAAATCACAAGCCAGATTCCAGTAGTGTAGGCTAGTAGAGTAAGACAAATTAGTATTCAGATTCAGGCTTTACCATGTGTAAGAGTTCTTACTGTTTCTAAACCATCTTATTTATAAAATGAGTTTGTCTCGTAGAATTGCTGTGGAGATTCATGGGAGAAATATAATATTCCATCAAGCACATTCAGTAGTTTAATAAAAATTATCTCCCTTTCTCATCTTCCTTCCCTTGCTTGATTATTAATATTTTTATAAATTCTGATCGACTGCCGTGACAAAAGTATAAAAAATGCAGAAAGGAATCTATTCCATAGAACTGTATGTTCTTCTAAGTATCATTTGGAGGTTGCTGTATTAATAATAACTACGTTTGTTGATGTTATACTAAGTAGTTTTTTACGATTGCTTTGGTGAGTAAGAGAAATAAGTGCTTCTGTCCCGTGATTCGTTGATCTCTTCATGACTTTTTTTTTTTTTTATCTCAAAGAATATTATATCTAGAAAATACAGGTTTATTTGCTGGAAAATTCAAATATCTGCCTGTGCCTACTAGCCTATATACTATTTTCTTAGTGAAAACTTGGAGTGGCATGCCAGTGAACATACATATAGCTGGTTTATAATTTATTAGGTTGAAATAGTATGGTTCTTTCTTTAGAAGTATTGGTAATTTAAAAAGTGGATTTATTTTAAATTGCAGAATTTATTATTGGCATTCATTGTAAACTTGCCCACCTATTTACTAAGCTGTGATATGTAGTAGTTGATTAATATTTGTCTTAGTCATGAACTCATTTTTAGTGTAGTCTCTTTCATGGAAAATGTGAAATCTTTACGAGTGAAAAATAAGATATGGTAGAATGTCACAAAGTAACTTTTTGTCATTATTGCCTAAAATTGTACCCCATCTGTTCCTTAAATTGAGTGTCTCAGCTTGATGGAAATATAAGAAAACTCCAAATTCTCTTTTGGAACTTAGAATTTTAAATTTAATTATAAGGAAAAGATAATTTTTCTTTTTTTAAAACTTATTTTACAGTTAAAACAGAGAAGAAGACGGTACAATTTAGTGATGATGTTCAGGTAGAGACAATAGAACCAGAGCCGGAACCAGCCTTTATTGATGAAGTAAGTGATGTTCTTGGTGCCAGTGGCTGGTAATCTACATTGAAGTTAATGTTGTTGGCTTCTTTAAAGAAAGTAATTACTTGAGTAATTTTTCTTTTTAATAAAAATTAAACAGTATAAACAAAACATTGTTCTTCAAACTTCTACTCTAGTTTCATTTTTAGCATTTTGTATATCATTATTTTAAATGCCTGCTTACTATTCCATGTCCTGGATTTATTATTATGATTTATTTAGTTGTTGTTTGACACTTAGGTTTTTTCCAGATTTCATTGCTATTACAAATGATACCGCACTGAGATTTTTGAACATACATCTTTGTATTTAAAGAAAGAGTTGCTACACAGAAGTAGAACTGCTGAGGTGAAGAATTTGTGTGTTTTTCATGATAAAGATACCACCAAATTGATTACCAGAATAGGATTTACACTACTATTGATATTATGTGAGAGTACCATTTTCCCCACTACTCAGCAAGCTCATTAAGATTGTTTAGCATGTTAATGAGCAAGGGACATTTCCTTGTTTTTTATTAAATGAATAAGACAAATTACTGTCCCCGAAAATTAAACTGTCATTAAATCTTCTTAAACCATTCTATAAAACCATTGCCAATATATTGAAACTTATTGGCAGTGATTCATTGGTTCTCCTTACATTGAGCACATTGTAGTAGTTGGGGAAAGCTTATGCTAGTTTTTTAATAAGTATTTATATATGCCATTGTCACACCTGAAACAGTATGCATATTTTCAGTGACTGTGTTTGAAAATATGATGTCAAGTTAGAGGCAACTCAGGCCATTGTTTTTGGAGTCAGGTAGTAGTAAATAAATACCTATACTGGGATTTAAATTTGAGACTTTCTTGATTTAAGTTAATCCATCCCGTTTAATTAATTGTTATAGAACTCTGCTGTTATTACATATATGGAAAAGAAAAGTGAAACTTTTCTATTTGCATCTTTAAGCTTGTTTGTGATTGTCTTTTGCTATGTGAACTCATTATACTATTGTTTACATAACAGTATTAGCATAACCATTGAATAAACTTAATGCACTAGTAAATTATGGAACTAGCAAACCATATGAGATTTCACAGGTTTCACATTGTATAGATCAAAGACTGGCAGACTGTCGCCTCTGGGCCAGTTTTGGCCCTTGCTGACTTTGTAAATGTGGTTTTATTGGAACACAGTCACAGTCATTTACGTATTGTCAGCAGCTGGTTTGTACTACAGTGATAGAACTGAGTAGAAGCGGCACAGGCTAAAATATTTACTATCTGACCCTTACAGAAAAGGTTTAACCCATGGTGCAGATTATTTTCAGGAACCATTTTCTCTATGTTCTCCTTCCTAAAATTGATTTGCCTGAGAGTGTTCCCAGTCACCACTTGTCATTTCCTTTCTCTCTTTTACAGCCCCCACTCCCACTTCACAGAAGAAAGTCTTACCCCTTGCACATTGTCAGCCTTATCACCGCCCCAGAATATAAAAATTCCTAAGGACAATTCCAAATATTGCTGTTAGTATTAAGAGAGTAATGACTCTAATGGTGAGGTCATACAGGTCAAATGGTGTCATATTTTTACTAGCCAAAAATAGAAGTGTGGGCCAGCAGGTGGTGTGGAGTTTAAGGCACTGGATTCTTACGTGGCTGATTGCAATTCGAATCCCAGACCCTGCCACTTGAAAATCACTTTGTGTGTGTGTGTTCATGAAATCACTGTGTGTGCGTGCATGTGTATGTGTGTGTGTGTGTGTGTGTGTGTGTGTATGCCCAAAATCCTGTGAGAAAAAGGAGGAGAACAGATTGTAATGTGGCTATCCCCCTTGGGGGGGTGATTTTTTTTACTTTCCATCTCTCTGTCTTTGGTGAGTGCATGCGTCTTATGGCAAAAACTTTTTTAAAAATGAAAAAAAAGGAAGGAAAACCAAAATGAATCAGTCAGCTAAAATAATCTTTATATTTTTAAAGACAGGCCAGTGAGATTTCATAAAGCTCTGAAGACATGTAAGAAATCAATAATATTGCTATAACAACTTATTTATATAAACAAGGTTTCTCATCACTTTCAATTGTAAAAGCAAAAAATAGGAATAGAATTGATATTGAATTCTGCCTTATTTTTCAAAATGAATAGAATTGATATTGAATTCTGCCTTATTTTATTTTTCAAAATTTGAAATGTAGTTATACTGTTTTGCTCTATTATGTACTACTTTGAATACTACCTCATATAAACAGATTTAACACTTATCACACGGTCATCAAATTAGGTTTATATTTTTGGTCTAAAGAAATTTGGAACCAGCAGTTGGTGTAATGGCTGTGTCGCTGGGCTCCCATGTGGTCGACCGTGGTTTGAGTCCCAGACCCGGTGGCTTAAACTCAGGCCAGACACATGTGTGTGCGTGCCCAAGATCCCAAGAGGAAAATGGAGGAGAAGGGATTGCAGCGTGGCCATCCTCCCTGGGGGGTGATTTCTCACTTTCTCTTTCTCTGTCTTTCTGGTGAGCACATGCACCTTATAACAAAAAAAAAAAACCTCTCCAAAAAAGAAAAAAAGAAATTTGATACGGTCATCAATAGAAGACTTGATTTAAGTTAATTAGGGGACAACTTTATAGGGGAACCTGAATAGAAGTATGAATTCAAGGAGAGAAGTGAACAATTTGAAATTATGGACAGAGGATGTGTTTTTAAAATGTTAATGGGTGCAAATTAGTATGGTACTTTATTTTCATTCTATTTTTAATAGAATGTGTGACTGATTTAGAAATGTCAATATTTAATGTTCTGGAAATCATATTCTTTGTAATATGGTAGACTTAGGAGAAATGAGATGTTATCTTTAAAATATGTGAGGATGTTTGTAGTTTTTTAGCATTTTTGTGGGGGAGACTGGAGCAGACAGTTTAAAGAGTTCTTTTTTAAATAAATAGACGAGGGACAACTGCTCGGATAGAGCCAAAAATTCTAGCTGGGTTAGGGAAAGTTACGTTTGGCCCCATGTATTATATAAGCAAATACATGTAGGGCATTAGTCACAGTCTGTATAGAAGTCCCATTTCTTTGATAGTAAGCAATAAAAATAGAATTTAGTATTCTGTAATCAAATAAAACAAAATTATCCATGTTCATTTAATCTCACTCTCATCTTGCCTATATTTTCTATTTTGTTAGACAAACTTCTGACACATGTTCTTTTTTTTAGGCTACTAAAAATGAAAATTGTGAATCTTTTACCTGGAAAATAGTATCCATTTCAAAATACAGAATTCTCTTGACTTGAAAAGAATTTTTTTTTATATTCTTTCACTTTCTAATGATTATCTCTCAAACTTTTTCTTCTACACAACACAGAGTTCTTGAGGTTTTTAAGTTTTGCCTTAAGGTGCATGCACATACCATAGAGAGACATGAAACCAAATAGTCAAACCGCAATCTCTTCTCTTTGTCTCCCCATCCTGTTGGGATTTTGAGCATGCATCCACACGATCCTGGCATATTTTACAAGTTGTCAAGACCAGGGTTTGAACCACATAGTCAGCCATGTAGGATCTGGTACCCTTAACCCTAAGGCCATGTCGCTGGCCTGGTTTGGTATTAAATAATTATTTTGCTTGAAATTAGTAGTCTCTAAACTACTGATTTGCCCTAAGCACCTATGTGTTTTAGCATTCCACCTAAAAACCACACATGAAGAAAAGTTTGTGATTATTTTAGTAGTATTCTTCAATAGATCAGATCTATTTTGATATTTAACCATTATCTATATAAATACATATATAATTATATAGTGCATGGATGGATTTATTTATTTTAATAGGTTTTTGCCTTAGAGTATGTGTTCTCACTGTAGAGAAAGACAGAGATAATGAGAAAGTGAGAAATCAACCCCCCCCCAGGGGGGATAGCCATATTCCAATCTCTTCTCCTTCATTCTCCTCCTGGCATCTTGGGCATGTATGTAGATGCATGATTTTTTTTTCTCTTTTTCTTTTTTTTTTTTAATTGGAGAGGTTTTTGCTATAGGGCATGTGTGCTCACCAGAAAGACAGAGAGAGCCAGAGAGATAGAAAGCGAGAAATCACCCCGCAATCCCTTCTTCTCCAGGGATCTTGAGAATGCACGCACACACACGTGCCCAGTGTGAGTTTAAGCCACTGGGTCTGGGACTCGAACCACAGTCAACTTCATGGGAGTCCAGCGACATAGCCATTACACCAACTGCTGGCCCTGCAGATGCCTGATTTTTCAAGTCACTAGGTCTGGGACTCAAACCACAGTTGGCCATGTGGGAGTCTAGTGCTGTGTCATCTGCTGGCCCCCAGATGTATTTATTTAATGATCATTTCATTAGTTCCATTGGTCCTTATGGCAAAAGATTCTGAAATAATTCTTAGTTGGTTTCAAATCACCTTTCAGCCTTTCCCATATAGAATAGAGAAACCGTAAGTCTCCTCTGTCCTTCTATGACAAACTGTAGCACTGGTGGAGCAAAATGTAAAATAAGCCTTTAGAGTCCTGCTTAGAAGAATAGCTATAGGATCGCTGAGCTGCGCCTTCCTGAAACAGCTGCTCTGTTCACAGTGGGAGAAGAAGTGGCAGTCACAAGCAGTGCCTCCTGAGCGAATGTTCACCCGTCAGCATGGCTAAGCTACAGCTGCTCCAAAGCAAACAGAGTCCTCTAGCATGATGTGAGAGATTGGAGAACTCACATGTTGTAGGTTTCATGGGGCTCTGTTTCTCCTCAGTTAAGAGAAGCTCTGTTAGCAGTTTCAAGAGTATATAGGAAGAGCTTTAAAGACCCTTGACTTCTTCATGTGGTACTAAAAATGCATGGGGCACCAGAAACGTAGACCCGAAACTGGAGTCTCTATCCCTGTAAATTACAGAAGTTCTATAACCATTATCTAGATAATGGAATGAAAACATCATGTTGCATAAAGGTACATGCTTTTTATATCAACTGTTTAACTCTGTAGGATAAAATGGACCAGTTGCTCCAGATGTTGCAAAGTACAGATCCCAGCGATGATCAGCCGGACCTGCCAGAGCTACTTCATCTTGAAGGTAAACCTTGTTTTCTGTTTTACCTTTTAGATAAAGAATAATTAGATAGATAGCATTCTGCTAAAGAATGATTTTTTGAAGGGCCAGCAGGTGGCATTGTGGTTAATGTGCTGTACTCCCATATGACTGAGTGCAGTTTGAGTCCCAGACCTGATGACTTGAAACTCACTCGGCACATGTGCATGTGTGCCCAAAATCCCAGGAGGAGAATGGAGGAGAAGGGATTGCAGTGTGAGCATCCTTCCTGAGGATGATTTCTCACTTTCCCCTCTCAATATCTCTGTCTCTTTCTGGTGAATGCACACATCCTATGGCAAAAAAGCCCTTAAACAACAAAAAATGATTTTTGAGAATGGCATAAAAACAACATTTTTCATTTTTCTTTGACCCAGTCTCATTTTTATATGCAATTTAAACTGTGAATAAAATCTGAATTCTTATACTTTTCTACCCAATTAATTATTTTCTATCTAATTAAATATTCAATATTTAAGAATCTTATAAAATGAAAAATGGTGTGTTAAAATTTTGAGATTAAGGGCCAGCAGGTGGGAGGGAGATTAGGTTAAGGGAGCTGGATCCCACATAGTGAATGCCATAGTTAGAATCCCAGACCCAGCAGCTTGAAAATCACACCAGGCGTGTACACATGCATGCCCAAACTCCTGAGAGGAAAATAGAGAAGGAATTGTGGTGTGAGCATCCCTCCTTGAAAATGATTTCTCACTTTTCCTCCCTCCCTCTCTCTCTCGGTCTCTGTCTCTCTGGCAAGCGCACACATCCGGTAGCAAAAAATAATAATAATAATAAAAAAAAGACATCAGTATTTAGAGTAATTGGTTACTATCATACTTTAAGAAAATAAATTTTGGGTTCTTTAGACTAAGATTAATTAATATAATTTTTATTATTCCAAATATTTTATTCCTTAAATAATATGAATATCAAACTATCACTTTCTTTTATTTTTTCTTATATTTCTTCAAACCTTTCATCTTAGCCATGTGTCATCAGATGGGACCTCTAATTGACGAAAAGCTGGAAGATATTGATAGGTAAAAGAAAAGGCCTGTATCTATGTTGTGTGCTGTCTCCCCTGAAGCTATGTCTGTATATTGCAGAGTGGTTTATATCAGCTTGTTTCTTTATATTCTTTTTTGCTTTCCTAAAAATTAAAATATTTGAAAAACAAATTCTTCTTTCTTTCTTTCTTTCTTTTTTTCTTTCTTTTATTTATTTATTTTTTTTGATATGGAGAATTAGACACATCTGTCTTTTTTTTTTTCTAAGTGAAGATTTAATTGACCTTTACTGTATCATTCTTCTTTAAATAAGAGTTAACTAAAATAATCTTTGCTAAAGTGCCATTGGTAGAGCCCACAGATGGCCTATTAGTAACTTAGAAAACCTAGATCTTTTGGGGCAAGTCTGCTGAGCAGGAGTTCCCTCATGCAGTACCAAACCTTAGTTTCAATTGCCTCTGGGGCAAAATACAGTTAAGTTTTTCTCACAGGTTAAATGTTTAATAATGTTTACCAATATGTTGTTTTGCTTTTTGATATTTTGAGGTGTTGTTATTCAGAACGTGGTATCATTTAAGCATTAGCTATTTCAACTTGTCATGTAATGTTTCAGAAAGCATTCAGAACTCTCAGAACTTAATGTTAAAGTGATGGAGGCACTTTCATTGTATACCAAATTGATGAATGAAGATCCAATGTACTCCATGTATGCAAAATTACAAAATCAGCAGTATTATATGCAGTCATCTGGAGTTTCTGGTTCTCAGGTAAATTCTTAAAATCTCAAGTATTGTTTTACATTCTCATATGCGTTTGATATTATTCAGAATAGCTGTTTTTATAAAATGTTAGTTTCTAACAGTAATGTTTAGGATAAAAATAAAGTTTAAAAGAATTTTGTTTTTACTAAACAAATACAATATATAATATATTAATACTAATAGTTGTTTTTTAAAGAATTGTTTAAAGAATCACCCATCAAGCTTTTAAGAAAATACAGATGCTTTGGTCCCACTTCTGACCTAGAGCATAAGCATAAATATTGAGATACAACTGTTCATATATTATTAAAGCTTTGTATGTGATATCTGATTAAGAAATTGAATTTTTGTTGTATTTTTCAATTTCTAGTTACTAAATTCTTCTGAGTATCTACAATTTTTAGTTTTTTAATTAACTACTTACATTAAGTGTTATTATCACAAAAAATACAATTAACAGTGGGGGAAAACTTTTAGCGATGCTAGATATGTTTATGGCATGTATTGTCATGATATATGGATGTGTAAACTCATCCAAACTCATCACACTGTGTGTACTCAGTATGAAGCCTTTTGTATGTCACACACATTTCAACAAAGTAGTCTTTAAAAAATTGGCTGATCTACCATTTTCTGAGCTAAAAAAGTCTTCTTTAATCAATTTTCAGTCATCTTTAAAAGGAGCACTTAAATGCAGTGAATAAATAAAGTTTGAAAAGCAGTTTAAAATCAACAAAATATAGTACTTTCATAGTTTTTAAAAAGGTGCTTTAGGTGCCAGCAGATGGTGTAGTGTTTAAGGCAATGGACTCCCACATGACCAATTGTGGTTAAGTCCCAGACCTAACGGCTTGAAAAAAAAAATGGTTTTAGATGCTGGAGGAGGTAATCATATTTAGCTTAATGTCTGGTTTTCTAAATAAACTTTTATTGAAATACAGCCACTCTCATTCATTTCTACATTGGCTGCTTTCTATACTGGCGGAGTTGGTTAGTTGTGACAGAGACCATATGGCTTACAAACTCTAAGATATTCTTTTTTTTTTTTTTTTTGAGAGAGATTTTCAATGTAGGGCGCGCGCGCTCGCCAGACAGACAGAGAGAGACATAGAGACAGAAAGCGAGAAATCACCCCCCAGGGGGGATGGTCACGCCGCAATCCCTTCTCCTCCATTCTCCTCTCGGGATCTTGGGCACGCACGCACACGCGCCCGGCGTGAGTTTTAAGCCACCGGGTCTGGGACACGAACCGCGGTCGACTACGTGGAAGTCCAGCGACATAGCCATTACGCTAACTGCTGGTTCCCACAAACTCTAAGATATTCTTGTCTGGATTTTTCCAAAATGTTTGCTGACCTCCACTTCAGGAAGTTGACTTCTCTATGTTCAATAAATTGTAAGTTAGGAACTGTGAATTGAAAATGCAACCTATGACTATAAAACAATGAATTTAAATGCTGTCCTTAAATGTCTTTTGGAAGTCCTTTTAAAATATCAGCATGAAAAATATTTATTGGGTTGATGGAAAAGTCATGACGTATATTTTCTATGCAAAAATTCTTCATTGTCCTTCTGACAACTCAATGATATGTTTAATGAAAAGGGAGAGTAAATCAGTATAAAGTTTCAAGATAAATTTCTTTAGTGTTTCTATATGGAGATAAATGTGAGTTGAACCAATATTTAAGGAAAACCAAAAACTAACAGCAGTTCATGTCTCCAGAGAGTTCTAAAATGTCATTTGCCAGAAATAACTTTAAAAAAAGAAGATTCCAGAGAGGTAATTTTTGTTCTTTTTGTAACTGAATGTTTCTGCAAAGAAAATGTGGTATGCCTATTAAAATTTTGGAATTGAATTCTGTTTTCACATGAACCGTTGCAGGTTTATCCAGGGCCTCCTCAGAGTGGTGCTTACCTGGTTGCAGGAAATGCACAAATGAGCCATCTCCAGAGCTACAGTCTTCCCCCGGAGCACCTGTCTTCTTCTCTCAGCCAAGGAACCGTTCCACCCTCCACAAACCCGGCCCTTCCTAGCCAGCAAACCCAGGCTTCTTACCCAAAGTAATTTGATAATTGACTGTTGTTTAGAGTTATTGCTGTTAAAACTCTGTAGGGGCCCCCAGTCATCTCTAACTATAGATCTGGGTAAGAAAAATCGGAGGTAGTCAACCTCCCTGTGGCCAAATGGTGGGCCTCAGTTGTGATGCTGAGTGGGTTCCATGGGATGTCCTGTGGTACTGACAGCCAACATGCTCGGCCTTGGTTTCACTGCCTCACTGAATTCCTGTGTTTTAGCTCTGTATTTTTACAGTTCTACTTTAAGTTTGTATTGTTTTATTTGAGTCTGTGGTGCTTTTTGAAACTTAAGTTTGGTAGCTCTAATTTATTATTTTCCCACAGGTTTTATGTAAAATCTTAATTCTGTTATTATTGTTGAGAATATATAGTTCTTGGCTATTTCTTTAAGTGAGAATGTGTTAGTAATACCTAACATTTACAGGGTCTTTACTATGAGCCAGGCATCATGCTATATGCTTCAAGTGTCTTAACTCACTCCCCCTAATAACCTATAAAGTAGGTAAGGTATGATTCCCGTGTTATGGAAAGGAAGTTGAAACATGAAAAGAGAACTGAGGTCCTGCTTAGCTAAGAATCAACACTGCATAGGATTTTGGCTCTAGAGCTTAGCACAGTCTCTGCACTGTATTGGAGCATTATTATGGCCCATGCCAATGAAATAATAGCAGGAAATTTGACTTCTTAAAATATAACTTTATATTGCATGGTGTAACACATACAGAATGATAATTGGTTATGATTTAGTTGTCACATTCGTTGGTGGAATGTAGCATTAAATTACCGTCTCGTAATAATGAATTAAATGATCTAATATGAATGAATTTAACTTGTATAAAATGCAAGAGCTTTGAATTTACCAACAGTCTATTTATAAATAATTTAGAAAAGTTTAGAAATAAGTAGATAAGCAATATTTTGAAAATCTGGGCCATTTTATAGATTGTTTTACCTTTTTAGTACAAATGTAGAGGAAATTATTGATATTAAAGCATCTTTGTATCTCTGACATAGTTTATCTCGTGTATGAGCTAAAACTCATGTATCAGGTTGGGAAAAGGAGGACAAGAAGTGGAGACAGTGAGTAGACAGGTCTTGGTAAGAAATTTTTTTTAATAGGAACAATGCATGGGAAGAGGGGGCCTTAGATGGTAGCCATGACAGCTGATCAGTTGTAGTGGAAGAGAAGACAGAGGATACAATTACTTGTAGGTACACATAGTTGGTAACTGTGATAGAAATATCTGGGAGGCCTCTTTTACTTGCTTCTGTATTTTCAGGGATATAAGAGAAATTAAGTTATCAGGATTTTCTCTCAGCCAGTCCACTGGAATGGATCTTGTCAAGTGCACTGGTGATTTCTGCATTGCCAAATTCCACAGTTAATTCTCAATTCTACTTCCTTGGACAGTTCATCATTCCCTCTTTTTTGGAATGCTTCATTCACTTGGCTATGGCTATTATCTCTCTCTCTGGCCATTCTCTCTTTTTTTTCCTTCTCACTGCTGCTTCTTAGTCTTCTTTGGCCAGTGACTCATCTCCCAGACTCAAGGTCTAGCTAGAGCTAGCTGTGAGCTGCTTTTTCTGTGTTTGCAGCCACTCCCTAGGGGATCTGGGGCAGCCCGTGACTCTGAATGCCATGTGTGTGCTGATGACTCTGAGTGTGTATTCCTCCTTCCCACCTGCCTGCTTCAGACTGGAATAGCTGACTGCCTATACACTGTCTCCTTTTTCGTAGAGCTTTTAGACATTTTGTTTGATGTGCAAAACCTTATTTTGGTCTCCCCCACCTCCATCTTGCCCCCAGTCTATTGCAGTTCTCTTGCAGTCTCCTTTTCAGTGAATGGACATTGTGAGTTACTCAGTTCAAAACCCTCAGGCATTCTCCACTGGCGTTTGTCCACTACCAAATTTTGATGGCGCCATCTTCAAAGCGTACCTGGACTCCATCCCTTTTCCCCCATCTCCACCATGACCCAACATGGCTCCGGCCTCCTCTCAGCAATCAGTGGCATAATTGTAGTAGCCTCTAGTAAGGCATCCTTGCTTCTGTTCTTTCCCCTGAGGGAACCTATTAAAAGTCAAACATGAGGGCCAGCAGATAGCGTGGTGGTTAAGGTGCTGAGCTCTCACATGGCCAATTGCGATTCGAGTCCTGGACCTAGCAGCTTGCTTTCTCATTTTCCCTTTCTCTTTTTCTCTCTGGCCTGCCTAAATAAATAAATAAATAGATAGATAGATAGATAGATAGAAAGAAAGAAATGGAATTAAATAATTATTTAAACAAAAAAGGTGAAATGATGCCACCCATCTGCCGGAAACCAGGCAGCGTCTTTTTGTCTCAGTCACAGTATAAGCCAGAATTCTTATTATGGCTTTCAGGGCACTGTGTTTCTACGCCGCCTCTCCCTTCAGCTATCTGACATCATTCTCCCCTCTGCTCCCATTGCCACAGCCCCTGTGGCCTCTTGGCTGTTCCTTGAACATGCCTGGCATTCTCTCCTCAGAGGCTTCTGCACTTAATATTCTGCTTGCCTGGAATGCACTTTTCCTAGGTAATCAGTAAGGGTCATTCTCACTTTTTTTTTTTTTGGAGTCTTAGAGTCCCTTCCCTACAACCCTATGTAGACTAGAATCTGTTGACCCAGGTGCTCTTGGTCTTCCCTATCATGCTCTGTTTTTCTTAGTAGCAATTATAACCACTTGACATGTTATAAATCTATTTACTACCCTTTTCCCTCTAGAATGTAAGCTCCATGTAGAGACTTTTTTTTTTCTTTATAGTATTTCAGTGTCGAAAACATTGTTTGGCAGAAGGTAGATACTTAATAAAAATATATGGAAAGAATGGAATCAATAAATGTTTAATAAATAGCATTCCTGTTTGTCTCTAAATGGCTACATGTTTCTGTATTTGTCTAATCGAGTGTTTCTGTCCCTCCACAGCACAATGGTCAGTTCTGTTCAAGGAAATACATATCCCAGCCAGGCTTCGGTCTACAGTCCTCCTGCTGCTGGTGCCGCTGCAACTGCTGATGTCACCATGTATCAGAATGCAGGAACTAATATGTCCCCGGTGCCAAACTATACTTTAACATCATCACCCCTGCCCCAGCCCGGAGGCAGTCAGCAGCCACCTCAGCCACAGCAGCCGTATTCTCAGAAGGCCCTACTATAGGACCCGGGACTCCTTCACGTGGCAGATTTCTGCTGAACGCCGCTGACGATGTCATGAAATTCGTTAACTATCCTAAGATTTGTTTATCCTCAGCTTATAGGAAACCGTATTGGTCAACAAGCTCAAATACTCAAGAAGGTAGAACTCTCTTCAATTTGCACTGACTTTTTAGAGGTTCTCCCCTCCCCGCTCCCAGAGGAATGAAACTATATACATTTCCTTTCATAATATGAAAGAATCAATACAGGATCATTTGTCTCGTAAAATTTCCTGGTCTGCAAAAAGCAAAGCTTAACAAAAACTGTTGTGGCGACCGTTATGTACATATATTGGTATGTAACTTCATTAGTGGCCATTTCGAATCACAATGGTGACCATGTGAATATATTTAACACTGTGTTAAATTAATTTACCTTGCTATTTTATTTTAATCATGAACAACTACCATGTTTTGTAATGTTTTGTGTAAATTAAAGGTAATTACACTGTCCTTTTAAACTGCAAGAGAGGTCTACAAAGTTGTAGCATATTTACATGAAGGCATTATGTTGTTCCTGTTTCAGTTTCATATTAAACTGAATCTCCCTTTGACTAATTGTGACCTAAACATATATATGTATATATATGATGTCTTGGAGTAGCCTCTGCATACTACTAGCTGTCATCACACCAGCGTACAGTAGCTAAATTTTTGGTGCAGTTATAGCAAATGATAATGTTCCCTTTTAAACTTTTACATCTTGGCATGATATTTCAGAATATTGTGGGACCATGAGACAAAATTAAGTAGGATCGCGTCCTTTATATCTTATTTTTAAAGAAATAATGTTGATTTACTTTTTCCTAGTTGAAGATAGTAATTAAGTTTCTAAGCTGTATACTGTGTTTATTGGTGGCAGTGACACCAAAGATAGAGGCAATGTATAGAAATTTTTAAACTGGAAAGAAAACATGAATTACACTACATTTTCCAAGTCTCTTGTAATTATTTAGAATATAAACAAAATTTGATTCACCTGTCTTCTCCCCCAGTCTTTTAAATATGTCTTTAACAAACTGTATCCTTTAATTCTTCATTAAAATGGACATAAGTAGATGTTTAAAAGTAATCTATATTCCTGGCTTTACTTAATAGTTTACATACTTATTGCTGTTTTTCAAACAGGATTTTGGGACTCCTCTCTCTCTTTTAAAGTTCTTGTAGAATTATTTTGACTTCCTACTAAGGAATACATTTTGAATGAATGATTTTCTTTTAATTCACGTGAAAAAATGTTTTCCATTGACATTTTAATCTTAAAATCTTAAATATTTATAATTTCCTTGGTTGTGCTGTTATTTAACTTTGTTGTTTAAACAACTGAAAAATTAAGTTGAGCACCATATTCAATGAATTGACTTAACAGGTTTCATACTATAAATGCAAATGTTACTTGTATTTTAGCAGACAATTATAATTAGATAGCTTGTTTGTTTTCTTTTTGACAAATGAGTCTCTTGAAAAAATCTTAATGGCAACTAACTTCATAAGTTCAAATGTGAAGCACTAGTTTCAGCTTAAGTGTTTCCCACTAACTTATATTTTCTGTAGTTTAGAATGCATTGTCCTTAAATTGTTACTATTATTATTTTTTACGTATTTGCCATAGGGTGCATGCTCTCACCAAAGAGAACCAGAGAGAGGGAAAGTGAGAAATCACCGTCTGAGATAGGGCAGGGGAATGGCAATGCCACAATCCCTTCTCCTTCATTCTCTCAGGATTCTGGGCATACACACATCTGTGCCCAGCATGATTTTCAGGCCATTGTGTCCAGGGCTCGAACCACAGTCACCCATGTGGGAGTCTGGCTACCTAGCTACTACATCAAATTGTAATTTTAAATTCAAAATTTCACATTTTAAATGTTTTTAATAAGTTTGTTTTTCCTTAACTTGCCAGAGAGTGCATACACTCACCAGAGAGAGAACACACGAGGGAAAGTAAGACTGCTGCAGCGCCTTCTCCTCCATTTCTCTCAGGATTCTGAGCGCATGTACATGTGCCGTGTTTGTCAACCTCTTGGGTTCTGAACTCACATCACACGGTCAGCCATGTAGGATCCATGAGCTTTAACTGCTAAGCTACCAGTGGACCCAGTAAATGTTTTTTGATAAATATTGTCAAAGAATATAATCATTTTTTTCCTAATTTGAATTTTATGGTTTAACTGATATACTTTTCCCTCAAGTCATATTGTATCTTTTATCTTTGATAAATTACTATTTACCAATGACAAATTTATTATATTCTCATTTTAATTTTGATAGCTTTCTATGGTGTAAAAACAGTAACATTCTCTAGCATGATTTTGCCCTATAAAATTCAAAGAATGTAAATTGAAAAAATTGCCCTTATTACCAGATGCATACATTTTTCTTTACCTATTAGATTACTTGGTTTATAAAAGTTTAAATGATGAGTACTTAAAACTATAAGCACTAAAGGCACTACATTTGTTTGTACCTTTCACTTACTAAGAATGAAAATACCTAGTGGAAAAATTCCAACAAAAAATGAAGTACTGGCTTTTCTTTCTTTCAGATTGCTTGGCCAGTGTGGAAATAGGAAAAGACCAGTTGAGATCACAAATTAATTTTTGTTCTGAAAGCTATGTTGTTGCACTTTCAAGTCTTTCAGTAATCTCTCTCTCTCTCTCTTTTAAGGAATAGACTTATTCTTTTTTTTTTTTGGAGAGATTTTTTTGCCATAGGGCACGTGCACTCGCCAAACAGAGACAGAGAGACAGAAAGCGAGAAATCCCCCCCCCCCCCCAGGGGAGATGACCACGCCGCAATCCCTTCTCCTCCATTCTCCTCTTGGGATCTTGGGCACACCCGCACACGTGCCCGGCGAGTTTTAAGCCACTGGGTCCGGGACTCGAACCGCGGTCGACTACATGATAGTCCAGCGACACAGCCATTATGCTAACTGCTGGTTCCAGAATAGACTTATTTATTAAGTGAACCAGCTATAATGGAAACGTCTATGAAACAAATTTTATTTCTCAGTTTATTTCTCCTAACAAAATTTGAGGTTGTTTCCATAAAACAGTGATAACTAAATGAAAGAAAAACTGTCTAGTTATTACTTAGCATGAATAGCCAACAAATGCCATGGCCAGTTGGATGTGATTTGTGTTCTAAACTTACTAGGAGTGCTGTGTGTACACACGTCATAGGATTTCAGTCTTTTCTAACTCCGTGATCCTCTTTCTCTGCTACCTTGCTCCCCTGCACAGTGAGGGCCTTGTTATGTGCTGAGAAATCCCTTTATATTAAATACTTCTGGAACCTCCTTTCCATATCTCTTAGCTTTTGTGTTTAAAACGATTAATAGACCAGTATCACCATTTTCTGGTAGATACAACTTTCATTTATGACAAAAGGATAATTCAACTTAGTAATATCCTTTGCCCAAAGCTTCAAGTTTCAATAAGACAAATTAGTGTCCTACATGATAACCGTACAGCTATAAAAATTGTAGAAGTTATTTTCCAAAATGATGTTTAGTGAGATAATTGGTCAAATTTTCATCTCTTTGATGTTAAAGCCATTGTTTTCTTGTTCACATCTATTTCCTTGGTTTACTTACCAATTGTACTAATATAGATTCCTGATACGTGACTCTTAATACTGAACAAAACTATAGTTCCGATTTTTCACTCTTGCATCATTTTCTATTTTTAGTTTTTGTTTTTGTTTTGGTTGACCACTTAGAAATACATATATAGAGAAGAATCTTAACTAAATATTTTCTCAAAGGACATATAGTCAGTTATCTTTTTTTTTTGAGAACCATGGCTCAATTAAATGTGCTTGTCAAGTGGACCTAGATTAATTTCCATATTATTTATAATGACAGCCTCCCCTGGATTTTAAGCAAAACTATCTCACTTTTGTGTGTTCTTAGTATGATTTGTATGGTTACTTATCATACAAATTATCATACTAAATCTGTAATACTACTTAGTATTTAATTTTCCTGATACTTTCCTAGTTACAAAAAATTTTGTTTTCTTATATTTTAGAACCTCAGAATTTAAAACCTTATATTTTCTTACCAAACAGAAAGTCAGTTTCTTGGTGCTAAATTGTGGTCATACTGTCTTTGGCTGCTTTCTGACTCTCCAGCTTCTGCTAACACTTTCTACTGACACTGTGATCTGTCTGCTGCTCTTACAGAGTTTCTCATAAAGATTACATAATAAGTTATTAAAGGTCAGTAAAAACCCTTGATAAAAGCAAAAGGGACTGATTTTAATGAATTTTTGGTGGCCAGACTTTGTAAAAAAAAATTACTGTTTTAGAGAAGAATAGTATCTAAATTTTTGGAGGAGGTACGTTAATCAATAACAATTTGTTTTGAGAATGTAGCTTAAAAATATGTATGTATATTTGTTTACAAATTATACAAGTTCTGCTGTACTAATATCAATTGTACATTATGGAACACAACAGAAATCTTAAAAGGGTGAAAGAAAAAAATGAATAGAAATCCTGATATTATTTTCCTGTATCTTAGTGGTTTACTTTGTGCCCTAGGATGTAAGGACCTGATGTGGAGACTCCTTGCTTTAGAGGTTAATATTAAACAGTGAAGGGGGGGAATAAGATGTTACTAAATTCGTCCCATGAAGTAACTATCTGGTACTATAAGTGGCGCTTTTCCCAACAACTTTCTGTGTTAAGAATTTTCAGGCATACAGAAATAATGAATTAATTTATTAATTTATACAGGCCTGACCACAGTAACACAGTTGGTAAGGTGCCACTGTTTAAGGCTGGGGCCACATGGGAGGCCTGGGTTTGAATCCTAGACCAAGCTGAACATGCTGGGCATAGTAGCATGCACTCATAATTCTAGCTTAGTGGGATTCTGAGCAGAGGATTACAAAGGTGAGACCCTGTTACAGAGTAATATATTGAACACCCAAATACTCTTCAATCTTGATTCACTAATCATTACCAGTTTGCCACATTTGCTTTCTCTGTTTGTGTATGTGTATATGTACACATACATATATGTATATAGTTTGTGTACACATATACATGCCTCATTATGCAGATAGACAAGTTAAAGACATTGTAAAGTATGTTCTCCTTCATTATGCATTTTGTTTTGTTTTGTTTTGTTTTGTTTTGAGAGGTTTTTGCTATAGGGCGCGTGCGCTCGCCAGACAGACAGAGAGAGACAGAGAGACAGAAAGCAGGAAATCACCCCCCAGGGGGGATGGCCACACCGCAATCCCTTCTCCTCCACTCTCCTCTCGGGATCTTGGGCACGCACGCACACGCGCCCGGCGTGAGTTTAAGCCACCGGGTCCGGGACTTGAACCACGGTAGACTACGTGGGAGTCCAGCGACATAGCCATTACGCTAACTGCTGGTCCCTCATTATGCATTTTGTAAGGCTAAGAGTAGTTTCTGACATAATCTAAACCATTATCACATCTAAGGAAATTAATATAAAAATCATATGTATTATACACACACACACACACTTCTTTTTTCCATGAGAGAGTGAGCGAGATCACCTCCCAAGAGGTTCTTGACGACTCACACCTCCTCCCCTCCAGTTGCAGCCAGCCCAGGACCATGGGCCTGTGTCTGCCTGATGTACTTGGGGGGAGGTCTCTGGACATGAATCAGGAACTTTCCCATGAGGGTCAGCCTTGCAGAGCACTGCACTGCACCATTGTACCACTATCCAGCCCATGTATTATACATATTTTCTAAAAGTCCACGATTCAGTAGCATGAGGCACATTTTTTATGTTTCTTTATTCTCTATTAATCTGCATTAATCTTGTCACTTTTCCTCTGTGACACTGACTTCTTAAAGATTGATGCCAGTTACCTCATAGCATGTTCCACATTAGAGATTTATCTCTGTTTCTTTGTGGTGTTACTTGATGCTTTTCTCATTATAGTAACTTCATTATGGGCCATTCCTAAAATAAATGATAATCACAATCTTGACTTAGAAGTAACAAAAGTAAACTTTTCAAGGTTAGAAACTGTGCCCATAAATGAACACTTTTAACTTGGAAGTGTAGTTACTGAGGG